GGAGTAAGAGGTCTTCTGATGGAAGAAGCTCACAAAACCATGTACTCGATTCATCCCGGCAGTACGAAAATGTATAGGGATCTAAAACCCTATTACTGGTGGCCGACGATGAAGCTCGATGTTGCTAAATATGTGGCCAAGTGTGTAACTTGTGCTAGGGTTAAGGCACAACATCAGAAACCGTATGAGAGTTTAGAACCTTTACCTGTACCCATGGGTAAATGGGAAGATATCACTATGGATTTGTGACTAAACTGCCCAGAACAAGGAACGGTCACGACATGATTTGGGTGGTCGTTGATCGCTTCACTAAGAGTGTGCATTTCATAGCCGCTAATGAGAAATGGTCTATGGATAACTTGCGAATTCTTATGTGAAGGAAATTGTGAGGCTACACGGGTTCCGTTAACGATTGTATCCGATCGTGACAGCCGTTTTTCCTCAAGGTTTTGGAGAGTCTACAAGAGGAAGTTGGGTACCAAGTTGTGTTTGAGTACAGCTTACCATCCGCAAACTGATGGTCAGAGCGAACGAACGATTCAAACATTGGAGGATATGCTGAGAGCATGTACCCTAGAATTCCAAGGTAACTGGGATGAACATTTACCTCTAGTAGAATTTTCCTATAATAATAGTTTCCACTCAAGCATCAAGATGGAACTTATCACGCTTTGTATGGAGAAAAGTGTCGAACGCCGTCATGCTGGCTGGAAGCTGGGGAAAAGCAGTTTATGGGACCTGAGATAGTCCATCAAACTGCTGAAAAGTTGAAAGTGATAAGGGAAAGGATGTTAGCTGCTCAAGATCGACAAAGAGTTATGCTGACAAGAAAAGACAACCGATATCCTTCGAAGTTGGAGATTCGGTTTTACTTAAAGTCTCCCGTGGAAGGGACTTATAAGATTTGGTAAAGAGGAAAGTTGAGTCCAAGGTTTATTGGACCATTTAAAGTTCTTCAGAGGATCGGGAATCAAGCTTACAAGCTAGAATTACCGGAAGAACTGGAGGGTATTCATAAACCTTTCATGTGTGTTATTTGAGAAAGTTCACGGGAGATGTGCCCGACATAATTCCCATTTCTGAATTAAGGTTGGATGAAAACAGAGGTTGATTGAAGAACCTGAGGCAATCGTTGACCGTAAGACTAAGAAGCTGAGACGCAAGATGGTCGATTTAGTGCTTGTGCGTTGGAAACATACGAATGGGCCAAATCTCACTTGGGAAACGGAGAGTGACATGATGAGTCGCTACCAGCCGGCATCTGTTTGCTGATGTGTGATTCCGGGGACGGAATCATCCTAAGGGGAGAGAATGTAATGCCCGTGTTTCTAGGCTAGGCATTAATATTGACATTATAGTCTAGGTTAACCTTTGTGATTCATTTGGAGAAATGAAAGGAATTATGTGAATATTATGTGTTTTTATGTGTTTTATGCTAATTATTAGGTTTAATTAATTAAGAATAAAAATGAGCATCAAAAATTAAATTTTAGATAAAGCCGATATCTATTAAGAAACTTGTAGTGGGCGTGACAAGATTACGGATATATAAAGAATGCCGAAATCCGAGTTTAACGAAGAAGTTATGACCTGTCGAGTTTCGCGACAAACCGGCACGGGGCCGAATGTCGTAAAAAGTGAGTTTTTGATAAACTACTTTTTAGCCTTAGTGATCTAAACGAACTCGTAGTGTTCGTTAAACCGAGAGTAAGTATAAAAAGAACGCCCAAATCTGACTTCGTATGAGGAAGTTATGATTTTTCGAAGTTTCAATCAGCTTAGCAGTAGACAGCTAAAAACTCGAATTTTAGATCGAGTGATTTTTAGCCGACACGACCTAAACGAGAATCGAAGGTCTCGTCATAGTAGCTCAACGGTAAAAAGTCTGACGAAAACGGATGTCGGATGAAGAAGTTATGAATTTTTAACGGATTTCCTGTCCCGGTCTGTTAAAAATAATAATATAAAATTAAAATAAAAATTAGCCGACGAAGTCTAAACGAAAGTTGTAGAGCGTAATTTTAACCTACGCGTGCATATAAAGAACGTCAAAAACGGAGCTCGTATGCGAAAGTTATGGATTTTAGAAGTTTTTGCACAAAATCGAGAAAATTCGCATAGTCACGTTTTTGCGCACGTCACCCTCGCTTAATCGTGCCACGTGTCCGAAATTGGTGATTCATGCGAGCCACGTGTCCGAGTTGCTGAGTCCATCCGAGCTACGAGTCATCTGAAGGGGTCCACTAGGAGTCCGACGCGTGTCCTATTCCTCGTGTCCGAGTCTCGCAGAAGGAGGCCACGTCCGAAGTCTCGGACTAGACCTCGGTCCAATCAACGGCAGCCACCGAGAATTCGCACATGCGAGCCATGTGCTGCGCACCCCGCGCCCTGCTGCCCGCGTGTCCTCGCCTGATGACTCCCCTTCTAAGACCGACTTCGGACCCCTATAAATAGAAGGGTCATGCGAGCCTTCTCGGATACATTTAGAAAAGCACCATCTTTCATTCACCCCCGGACCCCCTTAAATAGAAGGGTGCATGCAGCCTTCTCGGATACATTTAGAAAATCAACCATCTTTCACCCCTTCTTCATATTTTTCTTCATCTTAACATCCCCCAAAGCCCCGGTATCGATTATAACCCCCGGAATAACGCCACGAAAAGCCCGAGAAGCCCGGAAAATTTATTCTTTTCGGTTTCGAAGCCCGACCCTCGCAGAGCCCGGTTTTCGAATAAAACTCTCGTTTTATTAGAAACGAACGTTTTAGGAAACGAATTGCTGCCCGATTTTCATCAAAACAAGTGAGTGTATAGTCACTTTCATTTTACACATAGATATGAAGTATTTACCTTATAATACGTGCTATGTGTAAATATATTAATTGTTTATTTGAGGTGACTGTTGAGTTGATGTTTTATACAAGTTTTAAACTGTATAAGTATTTTTATCTACAAATATGTTGGGTAGAACATGGGTAGATAGTGATGTGTGATAAAATAAAAGTAATGAGAGGCCTCGATGTGATTTGTGATTCAGTCATCTAGCGGAGTTTGGATGACGACCACAGACTTTCTTGACAGTCCAGTGGGAAACATTAGCAGGTCCGCAACCTGTAGGTGTTAATGAACTAGAGTGTTCATTCGATGTACTCTATCCCCCTCATGGTTACCTTTAGGACATGTATGGCTGAGGAAATCCCTTAGCAGTAGTGTCAATCCCGATGATATTCTTTAGGCTAGGTCCCTTGTGAAAAGTGTTTAGGGACGTAAAGTAAGGATAATGGGAACGGGTAATCAGGGTTATTGTTGATTGGTGAACTTAATAAGTTTATTATTACTGTGGGTTGAAAACCCTATATGCTCACCAGGCTCCCAAGCCTGACCCACTCAGCTTTTTATGTTACAGGTAGTGGACCCCGAGCATAGTCGGAGGACGATGAGAGATTTTGGATTATAGGCCAGTAGTTGTAAATAACTGTTAAAAGGCTTATAATGTCTTGTTTATGCTTTTGATCTGTATCAGAACATGACATCCCGAGGTTTTGATATGAAATGAAATTATATATTTCTTAAAGAAAGGTTTAGAAAAACTTTTATCATATTTTGTATTGGGGACCAATTCCGCAACATCTTTTAAAAAGATTTCTCTGATTTTACTTTAAAAAGCATAAATTAAATCGGTCTTTTCTGGCCGAGAAATTAGGGGATGCCACACACACACACACACACACACACACACACATATATATATATATATATATATATATTATATATATATATATATATATATATATATATATATAATATATATATATAAGAGAGAGAGAGAGAGAGAGAGAGAGAGAAAGAGAGAGAGGACTTAGCCCTTTATTTCAAAGAAAGACGAAAACATCTGATATGTAAGACCTGACGAAATATCTACAACAACACAATATAGTTCACCAAGTTAGCAGGAACTGCACCCCAGCACACCATGGTGCGGTTGAGGTAGGGGGATTTGCCAACATAGGGTGTATTTCCTACATTCTTTCTCTCTTCTTCTTCTTCTTTTTTTTTTTTAATTTTTTTTGAAGTTTTTAATATACAATTTATATATATATATATATATATATATATATATATATATAATATATATCCAATATACGTTATGTATATGTATGTGAAAATATTTAATATAATTATAATTTTTAAAATAGAATATTAATTTGAATAACAAATATTTAATAAAAATAAACAAACACAAAACAATAAATTACAAATTAAAAAGTACAACCCATGGGAAACACAAGTAAAAAAGTCGATTTATATTTTTTTAAACATACGTGATTTTTTTCTTCATAAATCACAACTAATAATCTACATAATCAAATCAAAACCAGACATGACACGATAACCCAAAAGTAACCTGACATGAAATAACTTGGTTTGAGTAAGAGATTTCCACACGTTTAAGTAAATGAGTTGAAATAGACAAAACGAAAAGCAAACAGGTAAAATTAAGGTTAAACTTTAATCCTATTTAATAATATTTAATATTTAAATAAAATTATAATTTTTAAATTTATTATATATTGTAGAATTATAATGGCCGATTTCAATAAGAAATAATAAAATTTTGGGCTAAAAACCAGAGTTTTGTACCAAAAGGGCGTGTTTCAAAAAAGTAAGGGAAATCTGCGAAAAAGTCCCAAAGTTTTGCTCCAGTTTATGATTTAGTCCCAAATTAAATTTCATTAATGAAAAAGGACGGGTTACCGGCTATTACACTCACTTTAGTCCTTTGAACCGGTAACCCTTATAATAGCCGGTTACCCCAGCTCACTGTCCTTATCACCCTCCATTAACCTCCCCGTCATCCACTCCTCCTCTGTAAAAACCCTTTCTTACCCTCCATCGAAACAAAACTCTACCTGAGAAGAATCAAAGGTAAGAAAATCCACGTGGTCCTCCAATATCTTGTTTCTCTTATAATATTTGATTAATTTTGGTTTTGTAGTGATAATGGAGACAGTAGATGACTTGGATACCATTGACGTGGAATTGGATGAGTTTTTCAAACACAAACAAAGAAGTCGATGTAAAGATGAGTTCCTAAACACTCTCACAGACGAAGCGATTGACGGATGCACCAAACCTGAGATAAACCTAAATGATTTTGAAGGAATATCGGAAGATAAAGCACCACAGGAGAAGCAGAGTGACAGTAAGGGTGACGATGAAGACAAATTGCAGTTTCAATACTCAACCCATGATCCGAAGGTGAAATGGAACAATATTAAGCCATTTCTTGGAGAGAGGTATGAATCACCACACCAACTAAGGCTTTGTTTGACAAATTACTCTATAAGTAGGGGTTATCCAATTAGGTTCAAGAAATGTGATAGTGTAAGGCTCGTGGCTGTATGTGCAAGTGACCCTGAGAAATTTCAATGTCCCTTTGTTGTAAGAGCCTCATGGATGAGCACTGAAAGATCATTCCAAATCAAAAAACTGGTTGAGCAACATACATGTGTTAGGAATTTCTGTAGTGCTAATCTTATGGATCCCACATGGATAGCTAGGCAGTTTCTGAAGGAGATGATTAGGAAACCAAATCTGAAATGTAAGGAAATGCAAGCTATTATTCAAAGCAGGGTTCCATTGCAAGGTTTCATGGTCAAAATGTTATAGAGCAAAGTGTAGGGCAATTTCTTTAATAGATGGAAAGTTGAGTGATCACTATGCAAAAGTATGGGATTATGGACATGAGTTGATGAGGTCCAATCCAGGGAGTACAATTCAAATATCTGTCACTGTAAACCCTGATAACACTACTACTTTCCATAGAATGTATACATGTTTTAAGGCTATCAAAGAAGGATGGAAAGTTGGTTGTCGAAGAGTTATAGGGCTTGATGAGAGTTTTTTGAAGGGACAATGTAAAGGTGAGCTGCTAACTGCCATAGGGAGGGATGCAAATAACCATGTGTATCCCATTGCTTGGGCAGTAGTTGAAATTGAGAACAAGCCCAACTGGCAGTGGTTCTTGGAACTATTACATGATGACCTGGAATTACAAGGAGGCTTGGATTTGTGTGTTATTTCTGATCAACACAAGGTAATTTTTTCGATTATCTATTTTTTTCATTTCTTTTATACATGTATCAAGCAGTTAATAATGAAAATTTTTAATGTAATTGATAGGGTCTTTTTGGAAGCTGTAAAGGTTGTATTGCCACATGTGGAGCACAGACAATGTGCAAGACATGTGTATGCAAATTTCAGAAAGGTCTTGTAACATCCGGATTTCCAGGTATCTTATTTTAAGTATTTACCTTGAGTTTTAGGGATGGACTCGGCGAGTAGGCGCTCAGACTCGCCGAGTAGGATCGCGAATTCTTGTCTGGATTAATGAGGGACTCGACGAGTCGATGCGTGGACTCGGCGAGTCCGCGCTGTAAAGTGAAACCCTAAATCTCAGGGCCTGAGCCCTATTTAAAGGCCTTTATGTCCTCCATTTGCGGCCACTTCACCCCTGAGAAACCCTAGAGAGCAGAGAGATCGTTTGTGGTGCAAGAGGAAGGCTAGCTCACCATTTCTTGTATGTTTTAGCAAGAAGGAAGGAGGTAGAACAAGCTAGGCTGATTGTGGAGCTTGGATCTGTGTTGTTCACACTGAGATTCACGTTTTGAGGTACAAATTCCTTCCCATTTCGTGTATTTGATAGATTCCTTGAATCTAGGGTTTCCTTTGCACAATTTTGAGTTAGATTGTGAAGCATATGAGGTCCCCTTGGGTATAGATGATAGATCTGGACCTTGAGAGGTCCAAAAGGTCCCAAGCTTCCAGCTTTATGAGCTTTCATGTGAGCCTTGAGAGTAAAACCCCATTTAAAAGGTTATTTCTCCATTTTTGGTCTTATAAGCATTGCATGAACGTAAAGTTTGAACCTTTACGTGACTTTCGAGTGTTAGAAGGTTAGATTTACTGGTTGGTGAAGCAGATCTGACCTCAAAAGATCGTTTGAGTGTTTTCATGGGAGGAACTCGCCGAGCCCATAAGGGACTCGACGAGTCGAGTCGGTTGCCACGCGATTCGCGATCTGTAATAACCCGTTGAGTGTAGGGTTGACTCAGCGAGTCGAGTGAGGACCAGGGACGAAGAGGACATGCATGTACTCGCCGAGTCACACGAGTGCACTCGACGAGTCTAGGTCAAGTTTGACCGTTGACTTTTGTTGACTTTTAGGGTTTGGTCATTGTTAGGGTCTTTGAGACATGAGAGGGGTAAAATGGTCTTTTACCCTTCTGAGAGTACTAAGAGAGGGATTAGTCTAGCCTTGAGGGTTTTATTGATTAGAGTACTTATTCCATGTGATTAGGCGGGGGCTAGACCAGATTTTACCGAGCTCGAGAATTACCGAGTTACCCGAGGTGAGTCTTCTCACTATACTTTAACTAGAGTGGTAATTAGAGTTATGCGACAGAGTATCTTGTATGCTATTTATGTGATTGTGATACACTGCATTATTTCTATGTGATTCATGCCGTGTATGTTCCAGAGTTACGGAGTTAGAACCGGAAGGTTCACAGAGTTAGGACCAGAGGGTCCACAGAGTTAGGACCGGAGGGTCCACAGAGTTAGGACCGGAGGGTCCACAGAGTTACAGCCTCGAGTGGCTAATATGTGTTATATGTGGTATTTTGGGGAACTCACTAAGCATTTATGCTTACAGTGTTGTGTTATGTGTTTCAGGTACCAGTAAGGATCGCGGGAAGGCGCCGGCATGATCAGTACACACATGAGGAGTTTTTATACATTATGATCTTGGGATGTGTTTCTATGGATTGATATGTGATACAATGAGATTTTTATAATATCTATGAATGAAAGTATGCTTTTAAAAATGTTAAAAATTGTTTGAAAAATTACGGTGTTACAGGTCTTCAGTGGTATAGAGTTCAAGAATATGTTTTGGACAGTTGCCAAGTCAACTGCTGAAGGTGACTTCAAATTGAATATGGAGAAGATCAGAGAAGTCAACCCTGCTGCTTATGATCATTTGATGGCAAGGGAGCCTAAATCTTGGTGCAGGGCATTTTTTAAAGGTGGAATGGCATGTGAGGCTGTTGAAAATGGAATGGCAGAGTGTTTTAATGCCATCATACTTGATGGCAGAAAGAAGCCTTTGTTGGCCATGCTTGAGGAAATTAGACTATATATGATGGAAAGGTTATTTAACTTGAAGCAAGAAGCACATAAATGGGTGAATGATGTGTGTCCAGGAGCTATTAAAAGAAAATGGATGAGTTTGCTTTTGATATCAAGTAAGTATTATAAAATTAAGACAATGTATGAGTTTAGTATTGATATCAATATGTATACTAATTAAAACTGTTAATGTGTTTGCAGGAGTTGGTATGTTCATCCTAGTGGTTTAAATGCTTTTGAAGTAAGAAATGGCTTCCACTCATATGGAGTGAACTTAGATGGGATGTATTGTACATGCAGACTTTGGGAGTTGTCTGGGATCCCCTGTGTCCATGCCCAAGCAACCATAATTTACACACAACAGGATCCAGCTAGATTCATCAGCACATGGTTTGGTAAGGACAAGTTTTTAGCTACTTATGAGTCTAACATCCTTCCTGTTAATGGCAGTAATGTGTGGGAACCAACACCTTACACCAAACCACTACCACCTGTTGAAAGAAGGATGCCAGGAAGGCCTTGTATGAAAAGGAAAAGGCATGTCTCTGAGCATCAAGACAGGTTCTCCCAAGTATCCTCTAAGGGTAGAACTGTCCAATGTCAGAATTGTATGCTATTGGGGCACAATAAAGTGTCTTGCAAAAATCCCTCAGTCAAACCAACACCAAAGCCTAAGAAGAAAATAGGAAGGCCAAGGTTGAATCCAGAATTGACCAATTGCACAAGACTTGGGAGAGGTGGTGGAAGAGGTGGTAGAAGAGGTGGAATAGGGAGTGGAAGAGGTGGTAGAAGAGGGGGTAGAAGTGGTGGAAGAGGGTCTACCAGTGTTTATGAAGAAGGTGAAAGTTCTGGGAAAAAAGAACCTGGGATTGAGACTCAATTTGTCACCCAAACAACACCTAATGTTGAGAGTCAATTTGTCACCCAAACAGCACCTATTGTTGACAGTGAACATGTACCAGAAACACAGGAAGCAGATGTTAACATTGATGATGAAGGTGATGGTCTTGATATGGCTGATCTGGATCAGATACTGCATGATTTGAGTTACCTTAAAGAGTCAAAATACAGTGAAGCAGAGATCCTTTTGCGTCTTAATATCACCCAATCACAACTTAAAGGATTTGATGCTTTGCTTCACCAATCCAAACAAGCTGCAAAGGCATATATTATAACATTGACAGTGAATTTTATTTTTCAATAACATAACTAACTTGTATTCTTTCCCATGCAAGGATGTGCCTTTTATGAGTGAACATGTACCAGAAACACAGGAGGACAATGGTGAAAACAAGGAGGAGATTGACTATGAAGATGAAGTTGAAGAATCACAGGAGGACAATGATGAAGATGGAGCTGAGGATGATGAAGAGGGAGTTGATGATACTCAAGTTAGGGTTAGAACTCAAGTCAGGGTTAGAACAAGAAAAACTTTTGAAAGGATAACTGAAAACATGTTGAAGAAAATTGTGATTGACAAGAAAGGAATAGGAATGGCTCCAGAAAAACCTCTTACTTTGGATTAGATTGGTTAGGATTTAAGTAGTTATATGGGCTACTTGGGCAAATTTGTTAGGAAGCCCTTTTTGGTAAATTTGTTAATATGCCCTTTCTTTTGTAAACAATATACAATATGGCTGCATTGTTAACACTTTGGGACTTTAGATTGGTTAGGATTTAAGCAGTTATATGGGCTATTTGGGCAAATTTGTTAGGAAGCCCTTTTTGGTAAATTTGTTAATAGGGATATGCCCTTTCTTTTGTAAACACTTTGGCTGATTTTGGTATGTTTTGTTGATGTATAACTTACATCCATTTTGGTCATTATGTTATATTGAAAAACATCCTTCATTTGCTTACATCATACACTTACAATTATACATTGCTCAAACAGTAGGTATCCATAAAACCATTTTTCATTCAACAACATACAACTTACATTCAACTGTCATTTAAAAGTTTTACAACAACTTAAAACTACTTCAACATAATCCACACAATCACCAACAAACACAAAAAAAACCCAATCTTCCATTTTTCACCTTCAAGTTGTACAGGAACCTCTTGAATGCCATTGTTGTGAAAATCCACAGCTTCTTCCACAAATTCTTCCGCAAACTCATTGTGTACTTGAATGTCATTATTGTGAAACTCCATCAACAATTTTTTGTACCAGTTGTTTGGTAATGGGGGATCGACCCAAGCAAAATACTTGCAATCTTTTTCCTCATCCTGTTATATAGGAAATAAAACCTAATTGGAAGAGATTTGAGATGTAATTAAAGAGGTTTAAGGGATACTTACCCGGGAAATTAGGGCAACCGATGAACCTCCTGCCAGGGTTTGTTGGCCTCCATGATGTCCACTTACCAACGGGGTCTTCACAAAAGCATGTTGCCCTTAATGCTTGCCTTCATGATCGGATATTGCTCCTACTTCCCACTGAGATTGAAGATGCCATTTTGGTAGAGTTTTGTTTCGATGGAGGGTAAGAAAGGGTTTTTACAGAGGAGGAGTGGATGACGGGGAGGTTAATGGAGGGTGATAAGGACAATGAGCTGGGGTAACCGGCTATTATAAGGGTTACCGGTTCTTAGGGCTAAACTGAGTGTAATAGCCGATAATCTGTCCTTTTTCATAAGTGAAATTTAATTTAGGACTAAATCATAAATTGGGACAAAACTTTGGGACTTTTTCGCAGATTTCCCAAAAAGTAATTACCAAAACGATATACTTTTAAAAATAATTACCAAAACATGCTATACTTGAGTTTTACGAGCAAATATCTTACGTTCATTAAAAAAACTAATAAAACCCACTTTATTCTGGCTTGTACGCGTGTGACCATCTTACATCGAAACATTAAAAATTTGCTGGCCGGACATTTAATTTTTGCTCGTGAAATCCATATCAATTTGAAATTTCATATATTCACGTTGTTCGTCGGAAATTTCCTATAGAGAAACCCATCCTCGGCAGCTACTGATGCGATAGAGGAAATGCGAGGGTTCACCGGCGGTATGCAACTAGGTGGGACGGGTTTTCCTGAAATAATTTAAAGTCGAGTTAACTTTTTGCAATTGCAAATTCCAATTTTCATTATGCATATACGTTTCTTGTCTATCTCCTATTTTCAAAACAGTATGATGATGTTTATGTTTCATGGGGAGGTTGATTCATGTGCCTTAGTAATCCATCTGTTTACTTAATTGATTATGAATTGGGAGTTGGGACATTGGGTAAGGGTGACCGGAGGGCTGACAACACCACTATTGCATCTGATGGTTTTGGATCTGCAATTGTCGGTGAGGTAGTGACTAGAGATGCAGGAGAATCGGTGGAACCGGTAGATCAAAGGTTGCCATACCACCAGACGATGGGAAAGACTGGCGATGGAGTTTGGACGGATGAGTTGGAGAAGGAATCCTTTGGTGGCCAAGGTGGTGTTGGAGTGATTAATTGTTTGCAACGAGACAATTTAAAATTTTTGAAACAAAGGAATGTTTTTTTGTTTAATTGTAAAGCGCTTATATACTAATATTACTCAATTGCATTTAAATTGTGAAATAGGGAAAAAGATTCATAAAATGATTTTACCCTTCCTTGAATTTAAGGAGGATGAAGTCATAGCTGAATGTGAATCAATTGTGTCCTCAGAAGAGACATCCATCCATTACAAAATCGGACTGGACAAAATAGAAACCTTCATCGACTCTAAGGAACATAAATGTATGCTCAAAGATCTTTTAGATGAAAATGATAGGTTAAAAATTAAGTCCGAAACTATTCAATCGTTTGATTCGTCTAACGCCAAATTAATTTCATAAAATAAAATGAACATAGAAAATACGTCTGAATTTGATGAGGAAAGTGAGATGAGCGAAATCTCAGTTAAAGACGTGGTTGATTGCTCTGAGTTTATGAAGAACGAAACCGAGAATGAGAAACCCCTCATTTCTGAAAATTCGGTTGAATACGCTCGCTTGTCAAAGGACAAGCCACAAAAACTCAAAGAGAAAGCAATGGTTTATCATAAGGTTCAAACTGTGCCAAATCAGGTATATGCAGTTACAGGGGTCACTGCAAAACAAACAACAAAATTGAAAATCTTGGTTGACAAAGACAATGTTGAAGGGTGCGACGATTACTTCTTGTCAGCCCCTATTGATAATGCAGACGAAACCATAGGCTTATCTGAGCAAACTTCATGGAGGGTAAAAGGAAGATACGTTGCTGAACCTATCAACAAACCCTCGAGTTTCGACAAACCAAGCACAAGTGGAACAAAAGAAATCCCTGAAGAACCAATGAGAGAACCGATTGTTCCAACTAAGACAACCGAAACTCAAAAGGAGAAGCCAAAGGCTAGCTTCAATATCCATAAATCTCAGAAGGAGTTAGCTGAACAGAAACGCCAAAGAAATCAAAGATACATGAAAAATCTGAATGAGCGAAAACGTTATTGGCAATCTCAAAATCCCAACTACGTACCTCCTAAGAAAGAATCAATTGACAAAGGAAAGGAAAAGCTAAAAGGAAAAGAAAATTTCAGTCCAAATTCCTACTATTCCAAAGCTCAGAACCGAATGTCTACTTTCGGTTCCAAAACTAGCGCGCAGAACCGAACGTCTAGTTTTTGTCCAAACGTCAAGGCTAACAACCAAACGTCTACTTTCGGTTCCAACACCGGCGCTCAGAACCGAAAGTCAAGTTTCGGTCCTTCCAACTCCCAAAGAAAATCGAATTCAGTAAAGGACGTCAAAGGAAAGGGAAAGCTTGATTCTGATTCTAATTTCAATAATAAGAAAAAGTCAGCTAACCCTAGGATTCAAAAGAAAACATCAAAACCATCTAACAACACACCATCATATACACCAAAATTTAAACAGGATAAAACTAAAATCAAGGTGTATACCATCAAAAGAAAAGATCAATCCACTCTAATAAAAAGAACTTATTTGATTGATATTTCTACTGCAATTCCTTTTTCTTTGAAAGACTCACCAGGGCCCAAGAAACTTTGGGTTCCTAAATCTGCTTGAATTTGCAGGTGATTAATGACGAGCAGTTCGATGACGAATGGTACATAGACAGTGGTTGCTCGCGTCACATGACAGGAAGGAGGGAAGAGCTGAGGGAGTTTCGGTCCCTAAAAGATGGTGGATGTGTGAAGTATGGCAATAACTCTTACGGTACAATCAAAGGATATGGAATGCTAACCAACGGAGACTTCTCAATTCGAAAAGTAGCTTATGTGGAAGGGTTGCAGCATAACCTCATCAGCGTATCACAATTAGTTATGGGAACAGGTTTGAAGGTTTCATTCGATGATGAGGGATCAAAAATTATTGAAAAGCAATATAAAAAGGTTCTGTTGAAGTCTGAACGCAAGGGAGAGATGTATCCTTTGAATCTCAACCCAATTCGAGGAAAACCAGCAATATGCCTGCTATCAAAGGCAAACACTGATGAAAGCTGGTTATGGCATCGACGTCTATCGCACCTTAACTTCAAAGACATTAATAAGCTGGTGCTTGGTGATCACGTTCGAGGCCTTCCTCTTCTCAAGTTTGATAAGGAACATCTGTGTGCAGCTTGTGAGATGGGCAAACAAAGCAGAAAGAGCCATCCTACACGAATCAATACAAAGATTGTTGAAGCTCTTGAACTTCTGCACATTGACTTATGTGGACCTTCGGCTATCGAAAGCTTCGGTGGTAGTAAGTTCATTCTTGTCATAGTAGATGATTTTTCACGCTTCACCTGGGTTTTCTTTCTTAAACAGAAATCAGATGCAACTCCCAAGTTGAAGACGTTCATCAAGCAAGTGGAAGTGCAGCTGCGAAAGACAGTGAGGAATATCAGAAGCGACAATGGGCTGGAATTCAAGAATAAAGATTTTGAGGATTTTCTGGCTGACAAGGGGATATCTCACAACTTTTCGGCCCCCTATACACCATAGCAGAACGGAATTGTTGAAAGACGAAACTGTTCGTTATGTGAGGCTCCAGAACCATGCTCAACTTCGCTTCTCTACCGCTATACTTCTGGGCTGATGCAGTTGCAACCGCATGCTACACTCAGAATCGATCCTTGCTCAACAAAAGATTCTCAATCACTCCATATGAGATTCTGAACAATCGAAAGCCCAACGTCAAATTTTTCCACGTGTTCCGTTCAAGGTGTTTCATCTTTAATTCAACAGAGAACCGAAACAAGTTTGACGTCAAAGCTGATGAGGGAATTTTTCTTGGTTATTCACTTACTTTAAAGGCATACAGAGTTTTAAACAAACACTCCAAACAAATTGAAGAAACATATTATGTAACCTTTGACGATTATTACATGAAGAAAGTTCAAAGGAGCGAAAGTGCCTTGGGGGGAAATATTTCCTGAATCAGGACAAGTCTCGGTTCCTATATCCAACTTGTTTGAAGAGTACATTCGGCTATTTGATGAACCAGAGAAAGCTGCACACTCAGAGGCGAAAGCAGCAGACAATAAAATCGACAATCTCAAAAAGATCATAGATGAAGCTGCAAAAAAGATGGCAAATGAACCTCCTAAACCGACTGGTGGCCAACCCTCAACCGACTCTCCAAACAACAGCTCAATGTTCAAGGGGGAGGGTTCATCTGCACCTAAGACAACCGAAATATCTTTCGATGGGGAGAAGCCAACACCATCCCCAACCCGTAAAGGTCCAGCCGAGGGGGAGAATCCAACTCCAAAACCACCCAATGATAGTCCAATCGAGGGGGAGAATCCAACTCCCACAGAAGAGGAAAACTCTGAACCTGACAAGGGATACACTTCGCCATTTGAGGGGGAGAAAGAGAACACAACTGACGAAGGTGATCAATCAGAGCTTGAAGAAGAAGTAAACGCAGAGTTGGATCCAGCTTATGATCCTAATTATCCTCCTTTAACGAAATGGACTAAGGACCATCCAAAAACACAAATAATTGGTGAATCGTTTGAGAAAGTTCTAACACGTTCTCTATTGAAAGCGAAACAAACTGCATTATTCTCTAATGTTGAATTATGTATGTTTAATTCGTTAAGTCGAACCGAAAACAATTAATGATGCACTTGATCATTCTGATTGGGTTCAAGCAATGCAAGATGAGCTCCATGAGTTCGAACGAAATTGAGTTTGGAGGCTGATTCCCACACCAAAGGATGTTTTAGTGGTCGGCTTGAAATGGGTCTTCAGGAATAAATTAGACAAAAAAGGGGAACGTTATTCGAAACAAGGCTCGGTTGGTGGTGAAGGGATATTGCCAAGAGGAAGGGATAGATTATGAGGAAACCTTCGCTCCTGTAGCAAGGTTGGAATCAGTTAGGATTTTTCTGGCATATGCTGCTCATAAAAACTTCGAAGTTTTCCAAATGGATGTAAAATGCGCTTTCTTGAATGGAGAACTAGAAGAAACGGTGTATGTTGAGTAACCACCTGGGTTCGTGAATGAGAAATTCCCTGATCATTGCT